TAGTTCCTGTGTCAAGGGAGGCTGTGCCTCCAACAGTGCAGAGTGTAATTTTATTCTCCACAATCCGTTATAGGATTTATGACTGACCACAGTTTCCCCAATTTGTGACAGTCAATTTCCCCCCCCCCCTTTCAATTGCCCCGTGCGTTCTTGTATTTTCGTATCATTCATTCTTGATTACATTGCTGATGTGAAGTAACTAATTAAATTGGCACAGAAGATTTTATTCAGTCCCAAGATTTGTATAGATTGAATGGTAGAAGTAATTTTTTTTTATATTTCTGTTGCTTTAATTGTATCATAATTTGCATATGAACCATCGTTTAATATCGTTCTATATCTGTGGAATACAGTAGTTTGGGGCCCTGGATGTAACGTATACAGCGGCATAGCAGTAGTTGAAATTTCGAAGGAAATTTGTACTGAAAATGATAACTATATGCTATTGAATCCAGCGAGTCTGTCAGGATTTGCTTATAGAAGAGTATAAACATTAGAGGTCTTTGAGGGATTAACATAAATTAGAAGTGCCAGAAAACTAAGGTCGCAGACAAATATTATCTCTGTACGTAAGAATAAGCAAATAATTGAAGATGTTCCTGAACTAGGGATTGCAAATGTCGTGATTCATACCCATTTATTTTTATTTATTTATTTAGTGTTCTGTCTGACGACAGGTCCATATGACCAGGATCCTTCCATCCTTTTCTCGGACTGGGACTTGTTCATATACGTTCTTGGCAGATGATCCATAAGTGGTTTGCCATTGCCTTCTTCTGTGTGTGCATGGAGTAATTGTTGGGATGCCACGGAGGAAAACTCCGTGTTGCCTAGACCACGGCCTTGCCCAACACAAGTTATAAATTCGGGCACCGCCGGGAATCGAACCCGAGGCCCCAGGATTACAAGGCCAGCGTTCTAACCGCTAGAGATAACTATACATTTCGAAGTATCTTTATCACTCTTTCATAGTTCAACATTTCTGTTAAAGATATAATTCATTTATCTGGGTATAGATATTACACAATCACGAAACGAATCAATATCATCTCATGATCCTTTTATCTGACGTCAGATCGAGTTGATTTTTGAAGCACATAGTTAATAGTTGCATAAACAGTTGTGGATAGAATTTAAGGTATTCGCAGTGTATGTTGTGTGTCGACTCTCAGGAGGTAAGTAGGCATATATACTTTCTCAGAACATAGTAGTCTGCATCATATCCTGAATGTTCTGTACTTAGGATACTTTAACCGACAGTGTGTGTGAAAGTGACGTTAATTTTTTTTCTGTGTTAGAGTTAGTCCTTCCAAACGGCCATTATATTTTGGACCAGTAAGTGTCAACACTGCTAATACCAGGGCGGCTAATGTCCTTGCTTCAAACGCCTTCTCCAGACCAGGGTTGTTTAACCCCTGGGCTAAACCGACCCAGGCACTACACCGTGATCAGTTCCCGAAACATTAAAAAAAACGTAGGCGGTGGTTAAGATCCATAATGATAGTCATGTTTAAAATGCGTTAGGTTTGTTTCTAATTGTTACGCCTTGTCCATTACAAGCAATTTTAGACCCGCAGTTTGCGTCCTCCGTCTGAGTCTTTTTGAGAATCTGATAGTCGCTCAGCTGACCAAGGTTTATATCCTGAACCACTTGAATCCAGCCCACTCTTGTTCCATATCTTAATCCAGTTTAACTTTATCCTCCGATCTATACCTCGATCTTCCAGGGTGGAACTGAATAAAACTGACATCCTTATCCTTAAAATTGTTTGCTATCTGGACTTTTTCCATCGTCTTTGTTTAAGTGTAATCCACCGTCGTCAGAATCCTTTAGTCATCCTTGTCGCTCGTTATGACATCCGCTGCCTTTTGTGACCTTCATCTGTACGTGTATAGTAGTCCGATGAGAAGAAATGAGTTGTTTGCATCATGTGTGCGAATGAAATTACTTCCCATTTAAGGTCAGATGATGCATTCATGATTTTAATGATAGTGAAGTGACGACTCGTAAGTAGCAGGGATTGGTTTCAGTACGTCACTGACTTCTTGGTCGTATGAAATGTCGCTCAGATTATTCACGTTAACCGTTCTAAGTCAACTACTGCTGACATCCGTGTGCCACGTCGTGTCCGAAAATATTAACTCTGCCATCAGTGCTTTTCAACCCCTTTCTTGTGGTTCCACGCCAAAGTAGATTATTGTAGTGTGGGAAGACGAGTTACTGGAACGAGTTGCTAGAACCCAGTGGGTACTGAAGTGCATGTTTACATGTGTCACTTATCCATTATCTCGCAGCATGCCAAATCTATAGTAGACCTGCAGTAATATTAGCAACTTGCTTGTATATATGTGTGTATGTGTTATTGTTCAGACTTGGTTTTCCTCTTATTTAGCCTGCAAATATTTGATTGTAATATGCATTGTAGTTCATAGAAAAATCTAAGATTTTGGTAACGGTTAATATGCAAAATAAAGATTCTACGACTGATTTATAAAAGAGTACTGTGTTCGATATTGTCTATTATCTGAGGAAAATGTGATATACACTGCTAATTTGATGAAGGCCTTGTGGTTCCTCATACGGTGTTCAGTGAATGGTTTTCGTCATGTAGATTATGAATATGGTTGACAGTGGGGCGTTGGAGTTTCATGCTGCTGGTCATGTCTGGAATACTGCTGTGAGGCACGTTTTCTGTACGCCATCGGTGTTCATTGCTTATTGTTCGCTTTATTATAGTTACCATAATGAGTAAGCACGGCCATTATTGAATGCCGTTGTAGCTAGATACATAGTACACCATACAGCATGTACTGACGCGAAGGCCTGATTCAACTCGAGAACCCATGGACGAATTTTCGATGATATTTTGTATGGACATTATGTCATTGGAGGCCGTACTGTAAACGTTCTTTAAATTTCTTACAATCCATCATACCAACATGGCTGACTAAGCGTGAGCATCAATGGTGTATCACATACATTTGAAAGATAGACAACTTTGGTACAGGAATTGTTTGTGTGGTGTGAATCTACAGCATGACGGCTGCATAAAACATGTTCTGACTGGAGTTCAAGAATTGGGTACCATGACCTCCTCCGAACTAGTCTAATAGGAATAGATTTTTTTTTGGAAATTAAAATGTTATTTGGCACTTCAAGTTATGTTTTAGGCTATAAACTGCGTTTATTCATAAGTTTGTTTTGTCTATAAGTAGAAACAAAGTCAAGGCCTTATATTGGAAACTGTGCCATTCTGTCAACAAAAACAAAACCCAAAAGAATTCAAAATTTAAAATAATTGGTTGCAGTAATAAAGGAAATGCGACTCTAATGGGAGTCTGGGGGTCTGTCTCGTGGTCATCTGGGCACCGAGCCCAGAAAGATGCCCCATGAGCGATATTGCATTTAATTGAAAGTTGCACGAACCAAATATAAGATTAACAAGACAAGATTCATATGACTATAAATCTGCACGATAGGAAACTAGGCTTTAAGAATTACGCCCCCAACTCTGTGTCTGTATTGGCGCAGACTTTTGCTATTGTTTATCTTTCGCAGGTTATCGTAAAATCTTGAGATAAACTGAAGACACCGTGTTCAGTTGGAAACTGCTGAAATGTAGATCATTTCTTGCTATTATTCTTGTTCTGCTTTCGATGTTTGGCCAGACACAAAGCTGTTTAAAATAGTAGACAAATAATCTGAAGTTGTGATAGAAGCAGTGTTTCTTCATTTCCTGATCTTTTCGATAGCTTGCTATTCGGTTCGCTGGATTGTTCAGCTGCAGATCGGCCTGCTTTCAAACCGTGACCGGAAGAATGCGAGAATTGTAGCAAAAAAAGTGAGAAGTGTATTGTGGTGCCTGTTTTGTGCGCAGTTTTGACGTATTTGTATTAAATTTAGAACCTGGATTCCACCGGGATAAGGACGCATAAAATAGAAATCTTTGTTATTTTTTTGTAGTGTTGCCAAAATACTTTCCACAGATCTGATTTTTATCGTCTTGTTGAACAGTAAGAAGTTTTATTATTTTTTATGGTGAAACAATTGTTTGACACTTTATTAAAATGTCGCAGAATTCAGAGGATTTTAATAATAATTTTTGCCCACATTAAGAGGGAAATTTTTTAGTACTGCGTTTCGCTGTGACATATCGCCCACTCTGGATGAACGTATTTAGTTGGTATATTGTTATTACGAACTTTTTCTGAACTATGTCGACGGAAGTAAATTTTGGTGTAAAATTGACTTTCCTTCTTTTTTCAAATAAGACATGCATATATTTCGATACTAACAGACCAAACCGAAAATGTTTCAAACAAAGTGTGTGGCCCTTAGACGCAATTTTATGTTGTGAGCATTTTCGTCGTATATACTGTTTTCAAGATATAACCTTGAAATACGATCGCGAAATTGACAGTCACAAAAAATGCAATTGAAATAATTTCTTAATGGCGTCACTCTTGACTCATAACGTTGTAATTGCTCAACCGAAACAAATTAAGCTGACATGTATGTTACTAACCCACATCCATTTGCAGCCCAGTTTCCTTCTTTCAAAAGGGAATCGAAGTTTCTGGCATCTTGTCCGTGTCATTTCTCGCTTTGGATTAATTCGACGATTTTCATGAAATTGCAAGAACGTCTTACAGTTCAGTGTGGCTGTACTTTCCTACTTTTGTTTCCCATTATAATTATACCAACATGTCGTCTGTGCAGCCTTTCGAAGTATGAGTCACGTAGCCATCAAATCTAAATCTCCGTTTACTACTGCCTTATATAAAGCTTCCAAATTTTGCCAAACCATTACACATTCAACCTTAAGATGGTAATTTTAATTTTTGCCAAAACGTCGGATAGTACCCAACATTTGACGAGGCTCAACTCCGATGTACTTTGTACACGTTTGTGGTAATAACCAACCATTTTTAGATAAATACGAAGTGTGCAACACAACAAGGGTGCATGTGTTTAAAACACGTTTTTGTATATTTTTTAGATGATGATATGCAAGTGAATAATTCCGGATTGAAGTGTTGTATGGAGAAAAGCAGTGATGAGCCAGAATCTGCAGAACACAGCTTTGACACAGGTCAGTTTTGGTTCATGTATCGTGTTTACAAAACCATTACTTTGATTTTAATTGTTCAAGAGCCATCTTGAATTAATATTTTATCTGTTAAAAGGAGATACATTTTAGTAATAAGAGTGAAATTTAAATAATTCAGATGTTATGTTATCATTAATTTATAATATACAAAATCCATTTCTTATGGAACTGCGACAACAGTGATGAAAAAAATACATGCGCTTGTGATATGAACAGTAGATCGAACATAAGGCACGTGTTCCCAATCATATTTCTTGAAGATGTATCCAGAATGTTTGTTCCCTTTAATTGTATACAGGGAATAGCTTATCCTCTGTGGTAAAGTGGAAGAATTTAAACATAATTGTTGTTTTCAGCGGTACCAGCCGGTTGCCATAGTGGGCCCATTTCAGGACCCTGGAGGCTGCTGGTTCCTCCCTTCAAAACACTCGACCGCATCGCCTGCCATCATGGACAACAACAAGCTGTCGCCCACCTTTGCCCAGAAGAAGGCAGAGGTGAAACTCAACGCGATGCCGTAAGTCTAAGTCTTCACAGTTTCTTCATTGAACATTGCAGCTGAGTGGTTAGAACTCTGCTTCATATTTTGAGGTTCCACAGGCGTCTTTCAATATTCTTTCGAATTTATTATCGATTAAACGTCCTATCAGGTAGCTCATGACAGTCTGATCTGCTTACAACATCATTAGATAAACCACAAATAATATTAATAATCACAGATTTGTTCTTTAATTATTTCAGATTGTTTATATCATTATGTCATTATTATTCTAAATATGATTGCCAAGAATTTAAACCAGGGAATTTTGGATATATTAATAAATGTCATCTTATTATACACCTGAGTACTAACCTAACATAACACATTCATTTCTGTTATAAACAATGGCAAAATCTAAAAGCTGAAATGTACTTTTTCTTCTTCTACCGTGTCTTGACCGTTACTTCGGTCTTCTGGTGCCTAATATTTTCTTCCATTCTTCTCTATTTTCCCATCCTTCTGGAGGTAGTTTCCACTCTATCATGGTTCTTGTAATTCCGTTGTTCCATCCTGGTCTCGGTCTTCCTTTCTTCCTTCTCTTGTTTGGTTGTCATTTCATAGTCTTTTTTGGTAACCTTTCCTCCTCCATCAAAATGTACTTTTTAACATTAATAAAATGTTCTTGGGATATCAGCCGTGTCAGTTGGATAAAAATCACCACCATTTCAGAGATCATTTGTCTCCATGATCACGACCTCGAAGATGTTATTATTGTTAGTTTCTGTAAAAGCTTTAGATCATACTTCTTTAATGATGGAATAGATTCTAGACTCATAAATGTATTCAGTTTCCTTCATATTGACTTCTCTTCTTCTATGGCTCTCCGGTCCGTATTCGGTCCATGGCCTCCTCAATTCTCCTCTTCCATTCGGTCCTCTGTTAGGTCCGTCTGTCCGAGGCTTTGATTAAGGTTTCGAAACATCTTCCTTTTTACGGTGCAAGGTTGTTAGCCATGCGACCAACCCCCAACCTGGAGGACCAGGGTACTTGTCTTAGTCTGACCTCTCCCCCTCGACCAATCTGGCTAGGGAGGCCCTACCAGTAGCTGTTGGGGTCACTGAGGTACTCAGGCCCCACCACCACGACAAGGTGCAGGTACCATTAAGTGGGGTTCATATTGACTCTTTAGTGTTATAATTTGAATCTTTTATGTCTTGCATGTTTGCAGTTGGTTCCATGGGAAGATATCTCGTGATCGTGCAGAGCAGCTTCTCTCGCCCAAGGAGGATGGCTTATTTCTGGTGCGAGAGTCAACAAACTTCCCCGGTGACTACACACTGTGTGTCTGCTACCAGGGAAAGGTTGAGCATTACAGGGTCAAGTACAAAGACAACCAACTGACAATTGATGATGAGGAATTTTTTGAGAATCTGTCACAGCTTGTGGAGGTACACAAATTTATTGAAGTTCTAGGTTTATAAGGCAATAAAAATGTCAATGTCGATGTCTTGTAGGAGGTTACAGACATTTGGGAGGACCATATCACCGTGTCCATTTAGAAGTGAATCGGCTTGGGGACGTGAAGTGTTTTTATATCTATATTTATGTGAAACGGTGTGCATTGTGTTTATTATGAGAACTTTTTTGCTTTTAGTATTAGCGTTGCCAAATACATGTATCGAGCACTTACATTGTTCCCATTAAACGATTATGATTCATTGGTGTCAAGATAAGTGAACTAAGAATTTTCATTACACAAATTTCTTCAAAATACATAAATACATTTGTGTATTACTTCTGTTTTAATATGGAAGTAATGTAATTTTTTTGAATATGCTGTTGATTTCACAGTACAGGTTTATTAATTAGATAGTTAACTTTAGTGATTTCTTTTTAGCATTATGAACAAGATGCAGATGGTCTGTGTACACAGCTGACAAAAAGTTTACCAAAGAAAGGAAAGCAAGATTTTTGTGTGGATACCAAAGCCTTTGTAGAAGCTGGTTGGGTCATCCAGGAACATGAATTAGAGGTACGTAATATTTTATTGTTTACAGTAGTTAATTACGTTACAAATTAAGAAAACGATGAATTTTTTTTAAACTTGACATTGAGTTTTGTTGCGTGTAGCTTTGAAGTTCATTCCTGTGTTAAGATGAAAACCTAAAAGCGTTAACAGTGACACAAGAAATTACGTGTCACATATGATACTGAGGCTTTGTGTTATGAACAAAATTCAGCAGCGTTTATTGCGGTTACCAGTCAATTAGAAATTTTTATCAGCAACCTGGATTAAGATACAGAGAATGGAGAAATGTTTGAAGTTTCATGTGTGCTTTGTACTGCAGTCACATGCAGGATGATATTAATTAAATGATAAGAGACTATCTTTTCACTAATTCTGTCAAGAGATTACAGGCATTTTAAATATTTATGGCATAACAAATATTGAATATGTTTATTTCTGTTTGCACTGTTTTAGTTTGTGCTCTGATCATAGTGTAGATTTGTCTTTTATTTCAGCTGAGGGAATCGATAGGGAAAGGTGAATTTGGTGATGTGATGCTGGGGATCCTCAGAGGTGACAAAGTGGCGGTGAAAATGTTGAAGGATTCAAGTGAAGCAGCTCAAAAGTTTCTTGCTGAAGCCTCTCTGATGACGTAAGCCGAATAAAAGTAGATTATAAATAGTTACCAAGAATGTTTATTCTATAATTAATATTATATATATATATATATATATTATAATATTCTTCTTCTTCTTATTGCGCCATCTCCGAACGAAGGTTGGCGATCCACATGGCTAACATTATCCTTGAGACTGCCGCTCGAAAGATATCTGTTGAGGTGCATCCGAACCATCTTCTTAGGTCTTTCATCCAGGAGTTTTGGGGTCTAGCGACGGATCTTTTTCCTTGAATTTTACCCTCAATGATCAGTCTTAAGATCTCATAGTGTACTCCTCTCATGATATGGCCCAAATACCGGACCTTTCTTTCCTTAACGGCAAGCAATAGTTCCTTTTGCTTATTCATGCGATTGAGGGTATTCGTATTATATTATAATATAAACATTTCATATTTTTCAGATCACTAAGGCATGAAAACTTGGTGCAGCTACTAGGCTTAGTGTTTAACAATAAAAACAAACACATTTATCTGGTGACGGAATACATGAGTAAAGGCAGCTTGGTTGACTATCTGAGATCGCGGGGACGACTTCATGTTACCAGAAAGGATCAGATCAACTTTGCATTGTAAGAACCAGTATTTGTTTTGGTAAATGGTGAAGCATTAATACTGTTTGTAATTGTTGTAAGTTTATTTATTTGTGCCATTAAAAGTATTATAGACTGGTGCATATTGTGTATCTGTTTATGTCGTCAGATTTCTGTCTTCAAAACCACATTACATCAATGTGAATTTACTAGAGTCCCTGGAATTTCGTATAATAAAAGATCTGTAAAACTACAATATTGTCATGTTATTTCTGTTTAAAGTGGAATATAACACCATAACCTTTTTGAAACATGCATTTACTTTGTTGGTTTGATGATTGCTAGTGAACTTTGGTAATATGTGATCAGACCCATGTTTTGCAGAATTTGTGGAGCCTTCTCTCCTTGCCTCTGAATGCATTTTTGGTGTGGGGCAGTCACTGAGACAGTTTTACCTTTTAGTTCGTAACATTATGTGCAATGACGATGTTGCTCCTTGTGAATGTATTAAAATTAAATGTGAAATTAAATTCTGATTAGTTGCCTTATGAGGGTTTGTTCTGTGAAAACATTTTGTACTCGATGAGCAAATGAGTTGATAATGTCTTTACTCTGTTATCATAGATCCTTGTAAAGTTTGAAGTAAGCAATTAAATAATTTTACGTTAATCATTACAGTGATACGTGTTCTGGGATGGAGTACTTGGAATCTCGAAAAGTTGTTCATCGAGATCTTGCAGCACGAAACGTTCTAATATCAGAGGAAGGTGCAGCCAAAGTGTCAGATTTTGGTTTGGCAAGGGAAGAAAATTTTACGTTGGAAGGAGGAAAACTACCCATCAAATGGACAGCTCCTGAAGCACTGAAACAAGGCGTATGTACTCGCCATTCTCTTTTCACACATTAGTAATTTTTGAAAGGCCATATGGAATATTTCTCTGGTTCACATGTGATGTTTATCCCTCATTGTCATCCACTCATTCACATTATGGCACCTTCGTCATTTTCTTTATCAATTTCATATCTTATCTCATTTACTCCTTTCATCCGTATTCCTTTCCTGTTTCCACCACGATGAGTGGTGTTTATACAGAAAATACTAATTAATTTTATTTAATTTTCCAGAAATTTTCAAACAAGTCAGACATGTGGAGTTTTGGAATTTTACTTTGGGAAATCTATTCCTTTGGAAGAGTGCCTTATCCAAGAATAGTAAGTACACATTTTCTTTTCTGTTCGTGCTAGAAAATGTAACACCACTTTTGCCAGGTTTGCTACATCTGGTGGAAAGGTTACCGAACTGTAATAAGTGTTTGCCAGTGTCTTGTATTAAATTACATTTACTGTTACTAATATAAATACATTTTTATAAATGAGAAAATTCAGTAGAAGAATGATTTTGTACTGTGCTACATGGTTATGAATCTACGATGTCTTTTCAATGGAAAGGCAGAATGCATGTTTTGTAGAATTGTGCTGCATGTCGGCACAAATTATGAATGTCAGTTATGAGAATGAAAATTGTATTCAGTGCAAACCTTGACATGAACAGAAGAGATTCCTTTGAAATAGTATTTGCTGTTGTATGTTAAATGAGTTTCTTTTCTCCATTTTCATATCACTTGAAACAGCAACAACTATATATGTATGTTAATATTTATGTATAGTTTATTTAATGATGCTTTTTCAGTAGCTCACACTATATAGCGTTGAAATAAATGTTTATTATTAGCATTAATGACAAAATGTGATACTGTAAATTAGTTCTTAAGTTACCACAAAGCGTCACTACTCGTACATAAACTAAACAGTACCTGTGAGATTTTTGGTTGTCGTGCTACCGAGTATGAATATGGATGTCTTCTGGTTTGTTGCACAATTTAGTCTGATAACAGTTTGCTGACGTATCAGAGGTGCTGCTGCCTCCATCATGAGGGCAAGTCATGGTCTGGCCAGGTCTAGCTTAACAAGGGGGGCCCAAGAGATGGGCTTGTTTCCTCTTTCCCACTTCTTTACGTAGAAGTTGAAGCAGAATCCAGCTTCTGAAAAATTGTAGTTTTATTATTAATAACATGTTTTGTTGCTTCAGCCTCTTGCAGATGTGGTGAAACATGTGGAGAAAGGATATAAGATGGAAGCTCCTGAAGGATGTCCTCCAGAAGTGTATGAAATGATGAGACAGGTCAGTTTAGTTCTGTGAGTTGATATCCCACACCTTTACTGCCTAGCTTATATAGCGAGCACCAAGAATAATCAACTAGCCTGCATTTTAATTCATTGTTTTTTAAATGGATATATTGATTTATTCTTCTTCTGGTTTCTCGTGCAGTGACTTTCGAATGCTCATCTATAGCTCATGTGCTCATCTGGTCTAGAACCCAAACTTTATTACTGTGTTCACAATAATCTGAAACTAGACCCAATCAAAGAATCCATCCAAGTCCAAAGACCTGTGTAACGTTTCATAATGATAGTTTTCTTTGTTATCAGAGGTTGTTTGTCCTGTTCTTATCCCTGCCTGACCCTAAAGCTTGTTCGGTGATGAATTGGTTTTTCAATCAGTAAAAATATTTTTGTTAGATTTGGTGTGATATATTCAATCAAAAACATATTTCTGAGGTTCTGTTTAACTTCTGAACTTGCAACATCATTAATATTTGTCATACTTTACAGGCGTGGGATTTGCTACCCGACAATAGACCGACCTTTCGAGATGTAAAAGCAAAACTGGGACAGCTGAAATCTATGACAGTCTGAACGGATAAAGTGAAGTCATTCTGTCAAAGAAATAGATCTGCCAAAATGTGGCTTTTTAAGTCTTTGTTCAACAGTGTCTGAAGCCAGCCGTGAACTTGACACAGTGTGTTATTAAGAAGACTTGTAAACAATTTCAGTTCAGTGCTGTAGAGGTGTGTAATATTCCCATACACTGTTCTTAATTGCAGTTGCAGTTCCAGGAGATAGCCCTCTAATTTTAGTACGAGACATGATCCAGTAGAGTGATGCTGCTTACTATTCCCAGTCAGCTTTGTGTATCTAGTATGTACATATGTGCGTGAGTGTGTAAGAATGAGTGATTGTACATTGAGAGAAGATTTATGTTATGGAAGTAATCAGATGCATTTTATAATGATAGGCTATGCACTGGAGGACTCAGTATGTAAATGCCAACTTAAAAAGAAAAGTGGAAATGTGGGTTGTTTCTGAGGTGGTTGTATTGTACGCCATACTAAGAAAAGTTACAGGTATACTGTAACTATGGGGCTTGAAACACATATCGTACCAAATTAAATAAATAAGTAAATAAATTAGGAATTAGTTTAATGAGAAATTTATTTGCTACTGCTTGCTACGTGACATATTGGATTGTATGAAAATAAATTTGGGAGATTTTTGTGGCTCATACCGCTAAGTAATTTGATAGTGTCAAAGTGTGTCTGATTTGCATAAAGGAAGTTGCTGTTGCATGCTATTTTAATGAATTATGGTATAGAAACTGCGTGTCTCGATATCAGGTTAAACTAGTTCATTTGAAGGGGTCTTGTGTTCTTAGGAGAAATCCTCCAGTTTTTATATTCAGAAATTGCCACCATACTATCATAATGGGTTATTCATTCACTAGATGATGAATGGAAGAGTGAAAAGAAGTTATGCTTGATGCAATGTTCCAATCTCTCTCCCTTGAAATAATTTACAAGAATTTTCAAATCATGAATGGAAACATGATTGTTTTGTATTTCATAAATACAAATGCATGTGTTTTATGTTATTACTTTTAGTTTCAAAAATATATTTATTTGTGAACAGTAATACCAGTGTATTATTATCTGTCTAAGATGCTGAGAAGTTCAAAAGTTGCACAAGAAATTTTCTTTAAGTTGACATATGTTGTTCTTTTTTTCATGCGTCAGATATTCCATATTCAAAATATATTTTGTGTTGTATAAAATTAATATATTTCATTCAGCATCTTGTAAATTTTTCTTTATTCTGCAGGAATGGGAAGGAATTGAAAGTGAACATGAAGTACAAACACATTGTACCTCATTATGGTCTATATGTTTTGTGTAAAATGTTGTTCATATAACTGTTGATATTTTGAATTTCACTTGAGCTGTCAAGTTTTGTGTCAGTCTTACTTTCAAAATATGATATATATTAGAGAAATTTTGCTCGAATATTTTAAATCTCCATGTCAAGATGTTTGGTTTATATAGCTTACCCATTTATAACCTTATGAAACTTTCAAACCACACAAATTGTCTTGTTTTCATAAAATCAGTCCTGTAGTTGCTTCACATGGAATGCTCTTGGCCCATTAGTCCTGAGATCACTGATTTTATTACAAGAGCGTAGCAGCTGAGGATAGGATTCATTGGTTGGTTCTTGCGAGCATGGTACCATAAAAGTTCGGGAATTTCTTGCCCCCCCCCCCCACACACACACACACACGCGCGCGCGCGCGCACGACTGCGTAGTGGAGTTTCTTAGAGTAGTAACTGCTGTTATTTTAAAAAAAAATGTTATTCTTCCCTCCTGAAGTATTTTTATGGCAGCTGTAAAATGGCTTCATTTACAGTTCTTTCATTGAATAAGACTATAGGAAAGAAATCACTACTTCTAAATTCAGTTGATGTTAGATTCAAGTCTGTACTGACCATATTCATCCATCAACCGAAAGTAGTCTGAAAATATTTATAAAAAGAAATTCGCATCAAAGTAAGCTTCATCACCGCAGTTGTCTTAACTCCATTAATACAGTTATATAACCATTTCATTTGCAGACTGGTAATTTATGCAAAGTACCTTTGAGGTCCTTTTGAGGTACTGAGATTAAATCATAGACTGCTGAAAAGGTTTGTTTTCCGAGATACATGTGATCACGTGGTTCTTTAATTTAATGGTTTTTCTGAGTGTTACACAGAGTGCTTATCACTGTAACATCATTAAACATGAAGATAAATATAGTAAAAAAGTTCTTACATATCCTAATTAACTACCTCTTGAAAGTAAATGCTGTTGAATCTGCAACATAAACCACTTTGTTAACTTCATATGTGGTTATAGGACATTTTTATTTCCATTAAAATATAACTTATTTATTTGAGAATTATGATAAATCTGAGTTTCCTAGCTTGTCTCCTGAATACAAAACAACAGGTAAACATTTTGGTGTATTCCCCACTGTGTGAAGAATTCTAATGGACTTTAATGTCATTTCAAAATCTGTACAGACAATCTGCTGTGGTATGAACGACTCTGCTCAGGATTATGGTATTGGGGATTAGAACTGACATGAATTTGAAAGCAACTCATTGCTTTTACCTGTCTCTCATGACCATTATTTTCGTAAGTACAGTACTGTGTTTTTATTTCCATAATTTCTGTTTCATTAAATTAACTCAAATATAAGTAGTATCATTAATGATACTTCTGTTCACTTGTATGTGTCAACATAAATGAATATTTTGCATGTATCAAGATCCTTCATATACCAGAATGCCATTCATGACCAAAAAAGAATAATTTTCTTTAATGAGTTTTTATGAATTATATTTTGGTGTTGTAGTGCAGTGGTATTCAACCTGAGATACGTGTACCCCCGGGGGTACGCGAAGACATCTTAGTGGGTACGTGAAATTTAAAAAATATATATATTATTTGATGATAAACACTGAATAATCAGTAATGTATTTTATTTAAATTATTTTAGATGCAGATTATATACTGTGTATAACTTGAATTATACACCAACAACTTTGGAGGTACAAATTTGAAAAGAAATTATATCTGGGGGTACGCAAACAAAAAAGGTTGAATTCCACCGTTGTAGTGTATAGAACATATTCCAAAGTGTCTGTTATAAATCTTTGTGCCTTGTGTTTGACTACATCCCTCCTGTTGTGACCTATGGTATATATCACTATATACTTTTAAGGAGGATTGTTCTAGTTTCCTCAATTTGAATCTCTAGGGTGGTGGTAAGACTGTTATAAAAGGATAGCTTGGAAATGCTGGATTGCTCAAAGTTCAAAACTAATGGTAAAGGTCAACTTTGCGTAATGAAAGCTGTGTGAAGTGTTTATTATTGAAAGTGCAGTGCTTCTGTTTGTCGGTGTATATTGTACCTGTACATATTTAATGTGTATAAATATATAAATGTAAATATAAATATATTTTATGCATTACATACTTACAACCCAATTACAATAATAATAATAATCCAATAAATTGGAGTTATTTTCATTCATACTTCAGTTAAAATTACTAAATGATTGTTTACACCTAGAGGATTTCACAATTAAAATTGATTTCAGTTTCCCATTTTGTCATCTTCATTATTGTCAATAATAGAAAGCAGTGGACATTGTTTTCATGATTAAATTGCTCGTAGAACTTTGCTGCTGTGTAGGGATGCCCACTTCACCTGACCATAAGAAAGAATATTGTATCACTAGGATTCTGATTCCAAGATTCCTTCCTGATTACTGGGACTGGGACCAGAAAACAGTCTTCAATGAATTCGTCCACTTGTAAATACAATTATTGTAGGATACAAAATCAGTAGAATATATTTTGAAGCACTTGGTCCATTAACTGCAAGTTGGTTAGTTAATGTGACCTACTGTCTTTATTTTATGGCACAATGAAATTAAATTGTGAAATAATCCTGAAAGTCATTTGTGCACTGCAGGTATAGGACAGTTTGGTGTCGTCATTTGGAGGGAAGTTTATATTGTGTTAAAATTAGACTTAGCAGAGCAAAAGCCTGTAATGGACAGGAATAAAATTATCTATGTGAGTATAATAGTTAGTAGATATTGAATTTTATTTGGTATATCAAAGCAAATTTTAATATATGTGTTAATTTATTTTCACTGGCTTTGTGGTTGTCAAAATGTATTTTAAGGGTGATTTTCTCTTTAAATCTGTCCTCCGCCAAACTGTGTCTTGGAACAGAATGTGTTCTCTTGTCAAGGAGTATGGTTTGTAATATTTCATGTTGGTAGTTTCATGTTTGTTGTAATAACATACATAACCTCTTTTAAAGATGCTTTTGGAAGTGAATGTGTGTATATCATTTTATGAAGATGTTTATTATGAGTCCATATTATCCATGTTCTCTAGTATTATATGCCATTTTATAGGTTGTAATGCTGTAACAATTCACCTACATTAGAATCAGTCTGTTCTTTTTTGAATTTTAACATTGCAGATCCAACCTATTTTAGACTGAGTATGTACTTAAAATTTGTGTGACTCTTCTTGGTTTAAATATACAGCTGGCAGAAGAACTAAGAATTGTGTTTAGCTTCAGATACACTTGATGAAGTAAATCTTATAAATTTGTTTTATGGAGTTAACTTGTATTTAAATGAAATGAAAATATGTTTTTTTGTCTAGTGTTTACTTATTAATTCCTGTTCCCCAAAGGTTTATTTTTGTCATTGGAGTATTTTTCATTGTCCATTGTTTGGCGAAGAAAGATTTATTACATTCCAGATGGTCTGTTTCAGTTTTCAAGTAGAAGAGACAGGTAACTACTGTTTGGTGCTTGTCAATAAACTTGGCAGTTTTCACTGTTTTGAGTCAATTTTTTTGGGGGGTGCACAAGGGTTGTGCCTAGTTACAAGGACCAACTTTAACTGGCTTAACAGTAGATGCCCTTTCCTTGTACATGAAGACAGAGGCATAGCCAGTTTCTATAACACTTATTTCATCTAGATGGTGTACAAAGAAAATGTTCCCATGACTTCATTTCTGGACATATACTGTTGACACTAAATTCCATCTACATGACCAAGTTCTTTTTGCAGGTGCTTGTGTTTTTGTTGGAAATAACAGCATTGTTTCCCAATCACATGATTCATGTACTTGTCATAACAAGATGCATATATATAATAAAGGTGTGTTAACTGTCGTGTGTTTGTGTATGTCAACGTAATTGTTTTAATAGGAGTGTTTGTGAGAACTGTCAAATTGTCAATAGATTTGCACAGGACGTGGGGATTTAATGTATATGTCCTAGGAATTTGCAACCACTTTCTAAAAACTTCATGATTTCCCAGTCTCCTTATGAAACGTTGAAATTCAAAACTTCTAGCTCTACAACAACTCGGTGGAAACCAGCGTGCTTCGCGGCACTCATTCTGAATATTTTCTGGCACGTGGACGTGTGAAACGGCAGCGATTTTTTAACCTGGTAACCCTAACATTTTTTCTTTGTAAAATATAAATAATACTTTGTAAATGTAATTGTCAGTAGAATGTCTGTGAAGTGTTTATTTGATATGTAAATGTTAATACTGGTATAGTGAGATTAAAAAAATGTTTTTCAGATTCTTTGTGGTACTGGAAACAGTGTATTTTAAATACCACTCACCAGCCAAACTTTTGTGCACACAGCCACAGTGGCCCATCCTTTATCTTCATGGGAAAATTAACCTATACTTCATTGTATTTATCACTTTTTACATAGAATTTCGGGTTTCAGGAATAAATGGTTGTAAGAACTTGAAAGAAAATCATGTGCAAAAGAAGTTTTGAATTATGATCCATTGAGGATTATGGTTACAAATTATTTACACAACTTTCACAAATATGTTATGATGTGAATACAGAAAGATAGAGATGATGCTCTCTGATGGAACCTCAAAAGACTTGTACTAAGCAGGTAAAATGTTCTTATCTTGAAGTATAAGTATTTATCAAATAGTGATCCTACTTTTTGTCCTTCCCATCGTAGCCTCATGCCTGAACTGACCCTAGCCTGTGTGACTACCAACAATTTAAACAAAATAAACCAAGATTTTAAACTCAGTTTATATTAACTTAACCAAAATGTTGGTAGTTACATGTTCTATACTAAAAAATGTAATGGTCACCACAGCTTAGTTTTTTAAAATGGGGTGAAACAGTGGAAAGTGAAGTGTGTATTGGTGCAGAAGGATTTATAAGATGCATTCTATCACCTTGCCACCTGCACGCAAAACGAAAAAATCAATACTGTGTCTACTAGATGACACAACCAGTATCATATGTGTCGTATTTTCCTTTGTGAAATTGAAACATGCTGCTTGAAAATCTTGGTTAGGAATGCTGTTGATATCTTTTCAGATATTCCCAACATTACAAAAGGCCCTCTTAATCTAACAACTATTTTTTTTAAGGAGAACGTAAGGCGCGTCCTCACAGAAGCGATTTCTTTCCTCCATACGTCGTCTGTGGCCACAGATATAATTAAGAATTATTTTGCGGTAAACGTAGGCTGAGCATGTTGGTACATGCAATTTCTGTATCAGTCGCAAAAGAAAACTATAACGCAAGTGTGTAACAATAAATTTAGTGTTGCGTGATTTATAGTAAATTAACAGTGTTGACACTCATGTTTATACTGAACAAAGTGTGACGTAACATCAACGTGAAAAACAAAGGCAGGTGGTGTTGATTCAGGTGCTTAGATTGAATAAGACGTTTTTTGATTTGGGCTTACTGGAAAACTCAAAACCTATTTTATGTTGGTGCAGACATAGGACATTTGTTTGACTAAATATAAACTCGGACAGAAATCTTACGTGTGTGTTGTTTCACTGTTTACTGTTCAAGACCTGCAGCCTCGCCCAGCGTTGTCATTTCTAGGTAAGTTTCTTGCGCAAGGCGGCCTTGTTCTAAAGCATATCCACTTTGTCGAATTTGCCGTTGCGTGTTTTGAATTTCGTATGGATGTTACGCCCTTTTGATTATTTTTAATTGATAATAATTTAAAGGTTATTAAATAATACTGGTGAATTTGACACAATGCTCATTTCATGTTCAGTGGGAGTTTGTAGCTAGGGTTATCCATTTATCGTGAAGTTCTTTAATGAAACCATTTTATTGTTATAGTTATTATTCAGACCCCAGTTTGCACGCCACGTTGTTACTCCTGATTATAAGGAAGTAAAAAATTACATAAGTTTGGCATTAGGATGTGGGCTGCTTTGTTCATGTGTCAGTATAGAGTAAGAATTAGTAAACTGTTGCCGGTGAAAGATCTATCCGACTCGCTGTGATGTTCAGATAATAACACATTGTCACAAGGCTTTACAGTCTCAGAGTTGAAATGGCATACAAGATCCTCTTCTGCATTTTCTCGCACTTTTACCCATATTTTCAGCAGAGAAGTTACATAACCTCAAGAGAGGCAGGCCTGACATTAAGTAGGATATCATACGAATTCGTCCTAACTGGGTTTGCCAGTCATGTGTACGCGTATGTTGAGAAGCGTTCCAGTCCACTGTTGTCTGCCTACGTTCTGGTTGAGTGTCCAGCGTCGAACAGGTACATACCACATTCGACGCTTCGTGGCTTTCCGTCTGACATGTGAGACTCAGAGTGGTTTATTTGACGGCGCTTTGCCAACTGCGTAAGTTATTGACTGCTGGTTAGAT